TTACTTCCTAAGTTGAATTATGCATTAAATTATTTATCGCCCAAAACTTGTACAAAACATTAAATAACTTATAATCCGTGAAATTGTACAATTACATTAAATTTGTTAAGCACTGAAAACAGGATTTGGTGTGTTAAGGATCAAAATACACCTACATTTTTAATGCAATATCAAAATATATATTGCACACCAGTATAAGAATCTACAAATTGTGCAAAAGATATCCGTCCATTTTGTTTTTGCATTATATAGGATACGAAAAAGTTATACACGCGGCACTTAACATACAGTGGGTTTATCTCCATGGTATATCCGAGTTTATAATGTATCATAGTGATTGTTCATGTTTATAAAGCATTATATACAAAAAAAACTGAAGGAGTATTTTACATATAAATGTTGTTCTCTGTTTACTATAGGCAAAATGCAATAGTATATATATTTGTGTGCTTTATTTTTGCTTTACAGCAACTCTTACAGAGGTTTAGAACGGAATAAAAGGCTTTTACTGGGTTCTATGTTCTGTTTTTTATCCTCCCCGAAAGAACCGTAACTCTGCGTTGCCTAATTTTGGAGTTTTTGCCCTTTGTTAATTATTTTTCACTTAACTTTGTCCGGGATATAACTCTTAAACTATAAGAGATATCAGCATGAAACTTTGCAGGTAGATAGATCTCACAGGGTAGATGAGCAGTGAAAAAGAACCATAACTTTGCCTTGCCTAATTTTGGAGTTATTGCCCTTTGTTCATTTTCTCACTTTGAAATTTGTCTGGGACATTACTGTGAAACTTTTAAGAGATATCATGAAACTTTGTTGGTAGATAGATCTCATTTGGGTTAATGAGAAGCGAAAAAGAACCGTGACTTAGCCTTGACTAATTTTTGAGTTCTTGCTCTTTTGTTCACTTTGATCTTTATCCGGGACATAACTCCGACACTAAAAGAGGTATCAACATGAAACTTTGTATCTGGATAGATCTCATTAGGTAGATTAGCAGTGAAAAAGAACCGTGACTCTGCCTTGCCTAATTTTGGAGTTACTGCCCTTTGTTCATTTTAGCTCGACTTTTTTTCTTTTTTTAAAAAAAGTAGAGGTATTGTTATAGTCGCGGCCGCGTTGCCTTTGCCGTCCGCAAACTTGTACCTGGATCTTAACTTTCTTATTTCTTGGTGTATTGTCTTCATACTTGGCCACAACAACCCTTGGGACAAGACCTTTCAGTAGACCACACTAACCTTGACCTTCATCCATAAATGACCTTGACCTTCAAGGTTAAAAGTCCAAATTTTGCTTGTTCATGCTGTTATTGGCTGTAACTTTGTTATTTTTGAATGGATTGTCTTCAAACTTGAACATAATAATCTTCAAGGATATCCCTTAAAAATAACCTGACAGACCTTGACCTTCACTCATAAATGACCTTGACTTTGAAGGTCAAATTATTGAAATTTTCATGTTTTTGGCTATAATTGGCTGTAACTTCGTTATTTTTGAATGGATTGTCTTCAAACTTGAACATAATAATCTTCAAGGATAACCCTTAAAAATAACCTGACAGACCTTGACCTTCACTCATTAATGGCCTTGACTTTGTTTTGGCTGTAACTGGCTGTTACTTTGCTATTATTGAAGGGATCAACTTCATATTATAACAGAACATACTTAAAGACAAGACCTTGTTGTTTATCGTGACTCCATTGGACCACGTGACACCACCACATGACTCCACAACGTGACTCCACTAGTTACTTCCACAACGTGACTTCCACCACGTGACTCCACTAGTGACTTCCACAACGTGACTTCCACCACGTGACTTCCACCATGTGACTTCCACCACGTGACTTCCGCCACGTGACACCACCACGTAACACCACCACTTGACACCACCACGTGACTCCACCAAGTGACACAACCACATGACACCACCACGTGACACCACCACATGACTTCACCATGTGACTTCCACCACGTGACTTCACCACGTGACTCCACCATGTGACTTCACCACGCGTCTCCACCACGTATCTCCACCAAGTGACTCCACCACGTGTATCTATTTATATAATTTTCTATTTATAGAATTGTGTGTTTCTATTGATAGAATTTTCTATTTATAGAATTGCGTGTCTCTATTTATATATATATAAATTAGTAAATTTATATATAAAAAATATATAGACAAAACTAATGTGACAAGACAGAATGATTAATTTTATAAAAAGGAAACGTTAATATTTTGTTCAAACATTTCTTTGTTTGCTTTTAGAGAAAGTAAAAAGTCGAGCGGTGGCTATTGTACTTTCTCCGGGACAACTCCTAACTCCGACACTATAAGCGATATCAACATGAAACTGTTCAATCTGCTCTTGTGTTATTAGCTCGCCTGAGAAAAAAGTGCTGAGAGGTGAGCTTTTGTGATGGGAGTGTGTCCATCGTCCGTCGTTATCAACAGTCTTTAAACAACATCTCTTCCTAAACCACTTGATGGAATTTAGATTAGTTTATACGAATTTACTTTAGTTCGATTGTGTTGGGAGCCACAAGCTTATTGAAACACTCGAATACGTTCCTGGAACCAAACTGTACTAAGCAATGAGTGTAAAGTTTCTTGTTCAAGGAAACAACGGCTTGTCTCTGACAAAAGATTAAATTTGACCAAACTTCACTGGATTGATCATAGGTGGCCCTCTACAAAAGTTAGGTCACAAGAACTAAAAATAGACCTGTGAAATAATAAAATCTGTAAAAATAATCTCCTCAGAAAGCTTAGACGTTTGGCTTGAAGCATCAACTTTCGGACTCCTACAGAAGTTACGTAAATCCCCCCTATGGTCAAAATTGGCCCTGGCCCAAGGATCGCTCAGGTTATACAGATTTTTTGTTGTTTTTTCTGTTGTTTTTTTTTTGAAAAATGCATTTAAGCCTTCTCTTATGAAACTTTTAGCCCAGAGCTGAGATATTTGTCATGTGGCACCCGTTTGTGATCCTCGATAAAAAAAGTTAATAAAATAGGACAAAATATGGTCATATTTGATATCGCCCTTGGTGTCACTTTGCTAATGGATTTGTATAATATTGCACGTTTCTAAAATCGTTTCTTCATTGAATAATCATTAACGTAAATATAAACTTAATACAAGCTGTCAATTTTGTAATTACTATTTTTTCAAATTAAGTAAATTCGCTGTATTATAGATTCATTATAAAAGGTTCATGTTTATATGGCTGACGTAAATGGTTGTTTAAAATATAACCATCACCAAGCTGCTCATTACCATTTTGTGTTGGGTCTTTAACTGTCAAAATCTTTAAATTCTGGGAAAAACCTCTTGTATGAAACTGCAATGCCCAGAGCTTAGACATTTGGCATGTTGACATTTGCAAAATGGACCCTTAAAAGGGTTAAATAAAACCTGCTTCTAGTTTAAAAGCTATCCCTAGTGTCAAAATTGGTCCCACCTTGGGTGTCACTTAGTCTATAAAAAACCCAGACATTTAAGTCTTTATCTTCGAAAATACAATGCCTAGAGCTTAGATGTTAGACATGCAGCTTGTTTAGTGGATCTCTTCAAAAATGGCTTAAGTTACCCCATTGGGTTAATAATAGTCCAGCCTTTAGGGTAATTTATGGTACATAGACTTGTATAAAACTATAAATAGCTTATTAGCTAATGTTTCTTGTAATATGTAAACCGACTTAAAATAAAGTTTCTTGTATCTTGTATCTTGTATATATAGTTAAGTTGTCATTAAAATACCCTTCTTAAGCAATTTCTACGCCAAGATATTTGTCAAGAAACATCTCTTTGTTGTCTTCTACAAAAGGCATAAAAATCATGCCCCTACGCTCAAATTAGGACTGCCCCGAGGGTCACCTAGTTTAAAATATTTTATTGGCGCTATATATCAAACTCCTATTTTTTCAAGGTTCTTTCATTAAATAAAGGGAAATCACTCTTAGATAATGTAAATTTCTTGATAAGGAGTTGTCTTGTTAATTAATATTTTTCATTTATTTTCAAACATTTAAGACTTTTTTTCTGATAAAATGTGCAGAGGTGAGTTTCTTCGTTGATAAGGCCTTTCTTTCCCATACAATATACATGTATAATAAAAATAATCTTCAAAGGAGCAAGCCTTCAGATTTGCAGCAAACAGTTTGAAAATGTATTTTAAAATATTTTAGTATTGTTCAGTGAACTTTACAACGGTGACTCGTGTCCATTAGCAAGACTGATCGGTTATAATAAATAATTTTCCAAAACCAGGTTGGCTGAAAACTTTTTTCAAGACACCATATAACCTTAGAACCATATTATCAGCCAAGACCTCGAAATAACTTTTTAAAAAATCCACGCATTTTCCATGTCTAAATACCTGGCAGATGAGAACAATTTTGAATTACGAATTACTTTTTGCATACAAAGAAAGGAAACCGAAATGCGTTCATTCTTGTAGATATAGCTCTAGCTAGAACTTCCTACTATCAAAGAATGACCGCGTTCATTAGATTAACCATAGTTAAGTTCTGCAACTTGTAAACCAAAGTTTTACTTCTCTGTCATAATTATCTCCCGTACATAAACGTCAACTTGATTATTATTGGCGTCCGCGCCGAAGCGCGACGCCCTTATGGAATGAGTAAGGGCGGCAGCAACTTCTCGGGCCTTTTCGTCGGTCATAATAGCCGATCATTCCGATTGGTATGAGGGTTTTTGTTTATCAAAAATGAAATGTCGCGTACAATGAATAGCAACTGGAGAATTTCGCAATGCAAAAATATTCAAATGAAATAATCTTTTCCGGCAATTAACCGCGCTCTTCGGTGTTTTTTTATTAATCATTTTGTAGTACACAGTGGGTTATGTTATTACTTTTATAATCTAATATTGATTATCACTGAATTGGAAATACCTATATGCTAATATTTAAGTTAATATGAGAATGCACCTCTCCAATGTATTAGTCGTACTGTCACAAATAAAAAGAAATCGTGATTCTAAAATCAGATGTGAGCTGGACATCGACAATGCGGGCATCCACTCGCGTCCAGTACAATACCAATGTTACAGGGCGCTACGCATCGTGTTGGTGCGCATGTCCTTGAAGTTACCGGAAGTTGTGTTATTGTTGTAGTAGTAGTAGTTGTTGTTGTTGTAGTTACAGGACTTTTTGTCGTCTGCGAATTTCTAGACAAAACTGGAAAACAAATCAGAAACTTGAAACATCTGCAGTCTTTTAAAAGATTCATCGTGTTATTATAATAATAATATATATTCTAAAGGTATTTATGACGTCAAGGAAAAATTCATTAGCACAAACGTTAACCGCAGACACTTAAGGGCCAGACCCTATTCCCCCGCTTGAAATGCCCCTGTGAACAGTCAATTAAAATATTTTTTACACAAATGAGACATCTGTCTCAAAAAACAATTTTAATGATTAAGAGAGATATGCCCCATTTATTTTAAAAGCTTTTTCTTGACTGTTTACAGAGGCGGTTCAAGTCGGGGGATAAGGTTTGACGTTACCGTGTGCTTTTTTTTAAAGAAATTTTGATAGAGATATTTTAAATATGTTCAGATTTTGCTTACTTGTACAATCGAGACATCCATTCTTGTCTAACACTGTATACATTTTAGGACAGTTTGGTGGAAAATGTGGACATGCCACATTTGTGGTGCCTGGAAGTGAACAGAATATTTTTATATGTATACATACATATATTACATTTTGTGCACAGAAAAACAAATGCACTGGTCCATCTTCTCAGAGAATTTTTCATGAATTATAATTTAACCACACATGAATTCGACAACGAATTTGTTTAAAAGATATAAGTTATTTATGTATAATAACGTATTCGAAAGTTAATTCTACATGTCAAATAATGCAAAGATAAGGACAATTACGATTGAAAGCATGCATACAAATCAAACGGAATACAGCTATACTAACCTGAATTGGTTAATGTGGCTCCTGAAGTCCCCTGTTTGGCCTGTGTTCCCTGGTTAATTCCACTCGTGCCAGCTAGACCAGATGGTTGTTGTATCAAATTTCCGCCTAAACCTGTCCCTGTCTGGCCAGCCGTACCCGTCAGTGTCCCGGTATTCGGTCCTAAGTTCCCTGTCTGGCCAGCCGTACCAGTTAGTGTTCCGGTGTTCTGTCCTAAGTTCCCTGTCTGACCAGCCGTACCAGTTAGTGTTCCGGTGTTCTGTCCTAAGTTCCCTGTCTGACCAGCCGTCCCAGTTAGTGTTCCGGTGTTCTGGCCTAAATTCCCTGATTGGTTCGCAGTACCAGAGAGTGTTCCAGTGTTCTGTCCTAAATTTCCCGACTGAGCAGCCGTACTAGTCGGTGTTCCGGAGTTCTGTCCTGACCCTACAGCAAATGGTCCAGAATTTGACAATTGGTTAGTTCCAACATTGAGAGATCCTTGATTTTGAATACCACTCCCTGATTGAGCAGCTTGTCCGCCACTAGAAGAAGAGCCCCCTATCGACGAATCTGAAACAGATGCAGATTTTACGTTATGGACGAGGACTGAAACTGAAGTTAGTGGTTGTCATTTGAAGTTGAATAATTGGCTATATTTTTATATAGATCTACAGGTTTTACTCCTCAAATATACTGAGGGATATAATCCTGATTGCCTTGCCTGCCTTCCTATTTCCTGGAATAAACCCCTGGGTCTAAACCAGGAGTATGTATAATGTTAATTCCGTTTTATTAGTTGATCTTACTCCTTAAATATACTGAGAGGTCTAATCCAGGAGACTGCCGAATACTGCTGCGCTTTAATACCGATTATATATTTATTTATTAGTATGTATAGTTGTTAATGTAAACATTGAATATGTCTTAAAATGTTTATAACTGTATGCACCATACAAATAACATAATTGTTAATAACTTACGGCAGCCTGGGATACAGAATGGGCATCCATCTTTGGGATCAACGTCCAAACATTGTGTGTCACATGTTTCTACCACGTGTGCATCGCAACGCCATTGATTAGTTCCTGAAAACGAGGCAGATCCGCTTCCGCTAGAACCGGAAGCTTGTGAAACAACGCCGTTTGTACCGGAAACAATCGGGTTCACCACAACAGTGCCTGAACCACCGCTAAGCGATCCCGTCTGCGACTGTATTTGGTTTTGTCCCATAGCAGGAAAATCTAAAATTATATAAATGGCATGTTTCTATAAAGGCAAAGCCCATCTTACAGATTTTTGAGTTTTATCTATTGTCTAGATCCTCTTTCAGATATTTAACAATTATAATATCTTAATTTTATCATAAATAAAAGTTGTTGGTTATTTGTTCTACAGATTTAGTTATCGGTTGCTTAATTTAGAGCTTTAAAACGTACTTGGAACGTTATATGCCGCCTGTCCAGTCTGAGTTTTTGCATTTCCGGTTGCGTGCGCAGCACCACTGGCTTCATTTACTAATGACGTCAGATCGTGCACTTGGTGATTTTGGTATCCCAATGCTGTAGAAAGGTCTGCGGGGTTATATGCGAGGTATCGTTTCTTTAGTTGAAATCCATCTGTAATATTTAAGGCAAGTAAAACAAAACGTCGATGGCATTTCCGTTATTGGATCTAGGCCTTTGACAGTTACAGCGTTTAAGCAAAATACATTTGTGAAAATAAACTTATTTTCACCATTCCTTTAACTGCACGTGAGTTTAAATGATACATGTACATTTGGGATCTGGGTTGTTCTTTTATAAATACAAACTATTTAAAACTTCCCCTTATAAATGTTAATAAGCTTTCTGGAATAAAAAACCAAAACAACAACTTAATTTTAACAACACAAACAAAACAACATTCAAATTTAATCTAAACCTCAGATATATGACCTGTATAATAAAAAGGTGTGTTATTGGTGTTTTTGTTAGTTAGTCTTTTTGTCTTGTCCGATATCTAAATTCTTTTGAGCCAAAAATCGAACCAAGAATGGAGTCAAATAACCAACGCGGTAAAAATAAATTATAAGAAAAATAAATAAAAACGTTAAAATATTTTGAAATAATATTGTATAATGAGTATAAATATTTACCTGTTACAGAAGACAGTAGTAATGTTAAAGTTACGATGTAGATTGTTGACATTTTCGTCCTAATAATATTTACCTAAGTTTGGTTATTTATAAACTTTAATTGTGTGTTTGTATGTATACTTGTTTGGGGGAGAAGATAAGATATCTATAGTTTCTCTGGGAGCAAAGGTCATTTTGGTCAGCATTATGTAACTTAATTTCTAAATTTTCTAAATCTAAAAATAGCCATGGTGAAAGTGACTTTATTTAAAAAGCTACCACTTTGTTTAATTCGAGTGCATCGAAACAGTTACGTGGAATTTATTTCTTAAAATATGTGATAAAAGAAACATATTAGACGTGGTCGCCGATCACATTTTCTTTAAATTTGATTTTTAAATCTATTTTATTTCATTTTTTTTTATTCTTTCTTTTATTCATAATTCTATGTTGTTGGTTGTTTTTTTTTTGTGGGTATTTTTCTTTCAGATTCATATATCGGAAGGAAAACTTAAAACAATATGTGTCACTGACCTCGTTACCGAATTAAATGTCATTGATTGTTTTTAATGTTTTCATTTTATCCTTGGACACAATACGATTCAGTTAAAGTAATAGTAGTTTATACTTTATTCCATTAGGCAATATGCCCATGATGACATCACAAGCATGGTATAAATGACCAACAATGACAAGCAAAAATGTACCTAACACAACAATAATTGGAGAAGTTCGAACATAAATATTACTAACATAAATACACACAAACCCACACACACATAATTATATACATACATAAACGTCTTACGGGTGCAATGCGCAGATCATATTGATATCTTCATATAATTATATTTGATAAAATTAAATCCATCTCAGTCAATATGTCTTACCCGACCTCCATACTGAGCTATTGGTCTTGACGAAACGAAATTAAAGACCAATATTATGGATATATCAAGTAATTTGAGGTACTAAAAATTCTGTAAAAATAGGTTGCAAAACAAAATTAGCATATCTGGCGCCGTTATATGTGGTAACGCCGCTTTTATGTCGTACTTGCCTTTAAATGTCGCGCCATTGCCTATAAATGTCGCAACAACCACTAAAAGTCGCAAAATGTTCTTGTGTTGTCCTGTAACTGCGTTTCAATACAAAGCTTTTTCGATGCACCTTTCGTATTAACATATTTTCTGCATGAGAAAAATATTACAAACGATAACTTTAAAGCCTTAATTGTGGATAAAGGTTACATGTAATTAAAGCCGTGACGATACTAATTAAAAAATAATAATAAAAGAGTGACCTTAATTTTCTGTCAGGAAATAAGCCCACTTTCAGGGCATTTTTCATCATCATATAGGCAGCCTCGAAAATACACGGCATCATTTTCTGTTCGACCAGGCTAGTTTGGACGCCTGTAACATATTCAAGAAAAGACATACTGGGTTGATATTTTTCATACGTGACCTAAAGTGATGAGTGCATAAAAGATATTTGTAAAACTTTAATCTGATGGTTGCAAAATAATAATATGTATAATATATAATACTTATAATACCGCTTGCAAACATATATTATAGACGTTTTCAAAACGGCTTATATTAAGTTTTATATATATATGATCAGTACATGTGCTGGAATTGGCATTTTATTTGGATTTTAAAGGCATTTTGAGCTCCACACCCCAAGTGTCCGTTTGTAGGCCGACACAATGAAATAGATTCTGATCTGACATTGAATTCAAATTCAAATTCAAATTCAAATTCTAATTAACATTAGTAAAAACGGCAATACATACATGGTAAGTCATTTACAGAGAACAATCACAATACATAAAAGATTAACCATCTATTCTTTATTTATTTTTTCTTCTTTCGATCACTAGGAAGTAAATTATTTATTGTTTATAGTGTAATGATTCTGCAGCATAATTAATATTCATAAATTCAATTGAATCTTTCTACATTTTACCTCTCAGTATGTTGGATCCTTACCAAGCTTATGTCGTAGCTAGAATCCACGACATCTGAGCTGCAAAATGACATGACGTATACTAACGCAAATGACATGACGTCAAAATATATACCGCGATGCCTTTGGCATAAGTTAAGGTCGTCAATATATAATGCCGTCGGACCAAGATTACTTCAATTTCAACAAATTGTTTTGTACACCACAGCAAATCCTTTCCTATCTGATAGATAGCAAGTCCCCAGATCCCTAACATAAACGTTAATATTGACATAATACCAGTTGTTAAACATGAATTCAGATAGTGCGACATTCAACGACAGTTTTGTGCCATTTAACGGTAAGGGAAATTGGTGCGACATTTGACGTTATCATTGCGACGTATAACGGCAACATATTTTGAGACATTTTGCGGCGGTTGCAACATGTAGCGGCGAATGCGACATTTAGCGTCGTTGCGACATATAACGGCGCCATAGTCAAGATTTGAAAATGAACTAACTACCAATTACCAATTCTTGAAATTTGACTGACTCGAATTGAAATCATTTTCACGGAAAGCATACAAATAAGACATTTCTAACCTTAATGCCTTGAAATGAGCAAGTTCTCTTTTTTCAAATTCAAGGGCTAACTAGGTCGGTGACGCCAGTGAAGGCGATGTATATTGACGTTCCTGGTGATACCAAATTTCGTTTCGCTTCAGTGTTTCTGATAATTATATTCTAATATGAAGAGGTTAAAAAATCGTTTATTCTCTTTTCATTCTGCTAAACATGTGTGTAACTCAACTATACGCCTTTAAACATATTTTACCCTATACCCGACTGCTTTTTCTATCCGTAAAAATGGTATTGCACGACCTTGCATATATTTTGACGTCACGTCATTTGCGTCATACCAACATGGTGTAAAGACGCACTTAATGTTAGCGTTACACCTTAGGTGCGACTAGGGAAAAATTCTTATTCACTTTAAATAGTCCATATTTTGAGTGTGACGAATGAAATGTTATATTCGTATGGTTCATTGCTTAATTTATTAAACTTGTCAATAAAATAATATTAGAGGCTCGCATAATATAATTTCATGCAACTCGTTCAATTAATTCAATATTTAGCTTACAATAATTCAATATCATCTTTTTATTCAGAATAATAAAATTTCATGGTACACGTACACTATACATATATATAGATTCTAATTCAACATTATGCACTTTGGAAATAGATCTAAACGGAAGATGTCAAATCTTATAGTCTTTATTATACATGTATATGCAAATTCAAAGGCAGACCACTCCAAAACAAGATTAACGACTACCGTTTATTTCGCTTTAATTTCCTTATATTCTTATTTTAGATAAATTTAATGAAACAGTTTTCATTCTGCCTATATATATATATATATCTTAAATCATCTGAAAATTGCAACGGACGTCTTCGTTAAGCCATTAATTGTAATGATAATGTCATTTAATGCATATCTATTTAATAATTATTAATAATATTTATGATCGTGTATCTGTTACTGCTAACGTTAATCAGTATATTAACATAGATAAATTTGAAATTTCTTTGTCAATAAGGAAGTTAGGAATCTTATTAAAACCAGTTCCTTAATAATTCTACTCTTTAAGACATAAGATTTTTTTTTTATTTTAGTGAGATCTATTGGGCATAATCCAGATATGGTATTTGCAAATCACTCTTAAAGAAAATAAAATCGTTTTACATTTATTGTATTTCTTTCTGTACTCGATTGTTGTTTTAACAACGTCGTCGTCGTTGACATCATCATCGTCATCATCATAATAATAATAATAATAATAAAAATAATAGAGTTCAAACAGTTCCCCAAAACCTATCCAAGCCCCAGTTTTTAAAGCAAGTCAAAGTATTTCCTTTTAAACGGATACTCTCGGTACGGAATACCACCCGGGTATAGATTCAATACATTATTATGTTACTAGGCCATATAAAGGAAATATTCTAATAGGCGTTATGGATATTTAGATGGAACATTGACGATTTAAACGCATTCAGTAAAAGGAAACAATAAGGTAGGTACAATTCATCTTAAAATTAATACACGTGTACATGTATTACGTGTATTTTATTCACGTGTCTTATCAAAAAGTAGTTTCCACGTGTGAGAATGCAGAAAAGCGACCAAGCGCACACGAATTGCCATTAACTGTAATACGCGTATTATTTAATACAAAGCGCATGACTGACACAGATTTTTATATCGTAAAATGACCGCAGGAGTTTAAAAAAAAACCCTAATAAATGCATCCGATATGGTTTTAAACTGGTATTATGCTCATATCGTCATAATTATTTCATAATAATTCAATGAACACCAAATATTACATAAAAGTCCACGAAATAATTATATTTATTCAATTTTGTGGTTATATTCATCGGAATATGTCATGATTTTATTTGTGGATGAATTTAAACTCAATGTTTCATTATATACTTTTTGCCAAGTTACAGGCACACATATTTCAAATATGACAGTTTTGCGTAATTTCAGGTGTCCACCAAGGCGACAGCTTTACACGTATCTTTTCTTCAGCTTGATTCATACGCATAATTAAATTTAAGGACATACTAAAATTTGCATTATAAATGGCTCTTATAATCATGATTTTGCATTATAATGAACCTCTAAATAAGACATCTTTTGTTGAAAAAAATCCGCAATTCTCAAGATTGTCATTCTTTTAAATGCATCGAAAACCGGAATATTCTGACTTTTAAAAAAGTAAAATATTTAAACAGTTGTGAAATAAGTTATTAGTTCTTAAGACAGGAATGATGGACCTTTTCATTTTTCTAAATATTTTACTATGGATTTCTTTCGTAGCGGCGGACGTGCCTATAACTGTCCATACAACCAAAGGGAGAATTAGTGGGACATTGGAGTACAAGTATGTAGATGGCGAGCAAAAATTACTTGCCACATATACTGGAATTCCTTACGCTGAAACAACGGCTGGTGAGAATAGGTTCCAGAAACCGATACCAAAAGCACCGTTCACCACACCGTTCAATGCAAGGAAAACGCCCCTTGCTTGCTACCAACAGACACGGT